TCGCCCAAAACGTTTCGCCCAAAACTTTCGCCCAAAACGTTTCGCCCAAAACTTTCGCCCAAAACGTTATTGGCACCCAAACCCTTAACAATTTCTATAAACCCTAAACCCTAAACCCTTAAAGGGCTTTTGGAGCCTCTGGGCTTCTTCAGCCTCAGGCCTCGGGTCCCTGCAGCCAAGGAAGCAGCACAGGCGAGGCTTCATTCAATGGGTTTTTGCAGGGTTTGGGCCTTAGGGTTTGGGTTTAGGGTTTAGGGTTTGGGGTTAGGGTTTAGGGTTTAGGGTTTTTTCAGGGTTTGGGCGTTACGGTTTGGGCTTCAGGGTTTAGGGTTTAGGGCCTTAGGGACTTAATATTTGCTGTCGTTCGTTCTTCAACTCGGCTTCAAAGGTGATTGTCCATTTTTGTGACTTTTAGAGAGTCGGTTTTCAGGGTTTGGGCCTTGGGGTTCGTGCTTCAGCTTTGGGGTTTCATTAGGGTGTGGGGGTTTAGGGTTTAGGGCTCAGGGTTTAGTTTGGGGGGGCCGAAGCCTGAAGCCGCCAAACCGGAAATCCTGCCTTCCACCCTAGGAGGGCTTTGCTTCTTGAAGGCTTCAGATACCCTCCTACATGGAGCCTAGCAAGCTGTGTGGGTTCGGTCTTTCTGGGGCTCGGCTGGAGATCAAGGCGCCGGCCAGGAACATCATAAGGTTTTCCTTTCGCTTTGGGTTTAGGGCTTAGGGTTCGTTTAGGCCTTTAGGGCTCGCTTCCGAGGCTCAAGCTGGAGACCCGGTGCCGGAAGACCTGAAACAGGAATGCCCCAAGGCCCTGCACTCATCGTTTAGGGCTCTGAGGCCTTAGGGAATCAAGAGCCCGAAAGGTCACCAAGAAGCCCGAATACTGGGGAGAAGAGGGACGTCCTCGAAACTGCCATCTGCAGATTATTCTGGACCTAGAATATCTAACAAGAAGCTAGGCCAGGCCAACCCAACATGGTAAACTCATGAGGCAATCTAGACTCTCGTCTGCAAACATCTTTAGCCCTGACCCGCAGCTTCAACCGCTTTCAGCCTTCTGTTCTTCTCCTTAAGAGCTTTTCCGAAGGGCAGGCGGGGTACTTGGCGTACTACGAGATCCGGGACATCCAAGAGACGGATTCTGAGGCCCAGGCTATGGTTGACACTTTGTAGTACTATCTGATCATTAGCATGTGCAAGGCCGAATCGCTCATGTTCCTCTTGTTATACTAATCATTCTTGGTATTGTGCTTACAAAAAAGCCTGTAGTATTCTTCTTGTTCTGCCGGTATTCATCTTCGCCGTCTGTTGCATTCTTATGGCACATTTGCCAGTCGTGACCTTTGTGAATGATTATGTCATTGTCATTGCCTCGGGTACTCGTAGTATGACCATTATCTCTGTTGCCATGCTACAGTCTGTGCCACGGTCTTGATTCTGGTGCAGTCATGGATGAGTTCGAAATTCTTGAGGTTCTGCATGAGGGTTTCGGTTTGACATTCGCACGCAGGATTACATAGATACTGCTAATGATATAAATCCCGCATTACCTTCAGGACCCTAACCTATGGGAA